AAAACAGAAATCCAGACCTCAGAGGACTGGCTTAAACAAGAGATCTTCTATAATGGATGGAAGGCAAATACTTACGTGAATGGGGTGTTTGTATTTGCACCAGATGGTAGGATTTGGATTGGAGTCTTCAATTGCCCTGGCACGTGGCACGACAGCTGCATAAGTGACTATGGAGTCTACGACAAGCTTGCTGAAGTGGACAGCAATCTTGCTGGAGGAGCAAAGTGTGTTGTTGATTCAGCATTTGGCTTGTTGGGGAGGGACTATCTGATTCAGAGCTCTCAGAATGATCCAGAGGGTGAGGGAGAACAGCTCCTAATGAATAGGGACGCCACATCGCTGAGGCAGATGTCTGAGTGGGGGATGAGGATGATCCAGGGACAGTTCCCAAGGATGAAGGATAGGCTTAGATTGGAGGACTTCGGGGAGAGGAAGGTGATCATTCACTTGATGATCTGCTTGTACAACTACCAATGCAGTACCATAGGACTCAACCAGATCTTGACGGTCTTCATGAAGACGCCGCCGGCAGAGGCGACCGACAAGCCACATGAACTTCAGGATCTTGCTGCTGGATACTTCCATGCAGGGAGGGAGGTGTCTCCAGTTGGAAACAATGTATTCTGTGAGTAATTCCCATGGTCAAGTTGAACAAAAACAATAGCTCGTTAGATCTGTTAGTGTCGATTCGCGTTTTCCGTTTCGCGTATCGGTCACATCGATTCATCGCGTATCGGTCACGTCGATTCAACGCAGCAACGCAGCAACACGTATCGATTCAACGCAGCAACGCAACGCAACGTCGATCGCAGCAAAGCAACGCAACATAAACTTACAGGAGTCCACCATGGTGGAGGGGGAAGTTGGTTAGTTTCGTTGACAGTAATTTAGTTCTAAGCAGCACCACACGATGTTGCAACAGTTAGTGAAAGCAAATTAGTGAGCAATGCAGCAAGCACAAGCACAGACTTCTCCTCGTTAGCACGCGTTACACCGTGTTGTTCCTAATTTGCTGATAGTAAACGAAAACCGGGACTAGAAATAGTATACCGATGAAAACCGGGATTTCAACGGAATTCATAGTAAGCACGCGTGATGCAATCCCACGAACCGGGGTTCGCCTTTGGCACACATGCATTGATTGGCAGTCACATGCATTGGTTGTATCATATATCTTCATTGCATTATATATTCACACTCTGAAGATATTAGTCTTCATTGCAGTATATTCCGCTACAACGACTCCCACGAAACACTCCCACAAAAGGTATGCAAGAAAACCAATGCTGCTACCAGGACCACAGAAATCCACAGCAAAAATTTGGAACAACACGGTGTAACGCGCTGCTTCAGTCGCTGCTCACTATTTCCTCTGCTACAGTATCAAGCTCATTGTTCTTTTCTTTGCTGTACTAACGTACTAATCATTGTTAATTTTAATCCTTTCTTAACTGAGCTAATCGAAAGAGTGAAATTAGTTGCTTTCACCATGGGATTGCTCAGTATCAGTGCGTTGGCGCTTGTTACCAGTGATCGCCAATGCAACTGTTGAGGCAATTTGTTTGAGCCATGGTAAGCCAACGTTCATCTCTCGCGACTTCGCGTTTTGCTCTTTCAGCTTCCCTCGCGGCTTCGCGTTTCGCTCTTTCAGCTTCGCGTTTCGCTTCCCTCTCATCAGCATTCTTGTCTCTTTCAGCTTGCTTCTTGTCTCTATCAGAGTCCCTCTTATCCTGTTGCATGAGGTAATCCTTAAGAATAGCATCCTGTCCAGCAATTTCCTTCTTCAGTCTTCCATAAGATCTCTTTTTTGGTGTTGCTGTGACAACAATGGGTTTGGCAATGGCGGTCGAGTCGGAAGTCGTTGCTGTTTTGCTCGATTTGCTTGCTTTTGCTGGAGTCAAAGCATACTGCAAGTCCTCATCCAAGTCCTCATCATCCTCATCATCGATGTAACCTTTGATTGGATCAAACGTCTCCTCTCCAGTTCCAATATTTGCCTTGATTCCAATCAACCGGTGGGCCTCTCTTGCAAGGCGTACGGACTCAGGGATGTTGGGATTCCCAGTAGGAATCTTCATTCTCCTCAATCGATTGAACTTGGTCTTGATGGAATCCTTTGTTCTTCCAGGCCAGTCTTGTCCATGTTTGTGAACCACCACGAGCCAGTCTCCCTTACCAATGGGAAGGATTTCCTTGATGAGAGTCATCAATGAGACGAGCTCTTCTTCCGAGTAGTTTGCAGTACCAGCCTTACGGCCGGACCCCTCTACTTTTGATTGACCTCCCTGGGGAGGAGGGACAGGTGCGGCCGCTGAAGGAAAGCGTCCCCCATTGCAGGGAGGGATAGTAGCGTAAGGACCAGTACGCTCAGACATCTTTGCTCGTGGAATGAATATTGTGCGAGGGATGTTGTCCCGTCGCGTTCCTTCATACACGGCCTCCAGCAGTTGCGCCTCTCTTTGTTTCAGCCTAACGTATAGGAGAGCAGTGACTAAGACAGGGGACATCTTTGTTTCTGTCTTTATGTCTTCGACCATGATGATGGGGGCGCCGGCGCTTTTTTCTTGTTACTCTTAAAAGATTTAGTAACGTAGTAAAAATTCTTTCAGTCTTAAATTTGGCGGGTCTTTTCAGTTGAGTCCTACAACGGATTTTCATTCTTGGATTCCGGTCTAGATTTAGACTTTCTGT